CTCGCTTTCGCCTCCCATCTGCCTTGCCTCTCCCCCCTTTCTTCCTCCATCCCTCCCCTTCGCCTCTTCCTTCTCCTCTCTCCGTCTTCTCCCCTGCCCCGCTCGCTCTCCCACCTCCACCCCCTCTCTCCATCGCCATTCCTCTCAGAAACAATTAAGAAGGGGAGGAGGGGAGAGTGCGGAAGTTCGAGAACAGGGGAGAGGGACAGAGAGAGGGAGGGGAGGAGGCAGGATGAGGGAGAGGAAGGGGAGGAGGGGGAGGGGAGGAGTGAGGAGGGAGGGGGAGAGGATAGGAGAGGAGGAGTAGGGGAATGGAAGAGAGAGAGAACGAGAGGGAAAGGGAAGGGAACAGGAGCAGGCGAGAGAGGAGGAAGGAAGGAGGACAGGCAAAGGGAGAGGAGAAGAAGGAAGGAGAGGGGATGAGAAAGAAGAGAACGAGAAGTAGACAAATCAAGTGATGAGAACGATGAAGCAAAGAGTGAGGAGAAGTAGAGAGGGGAAGATGGAGACAGGAAGTGTGTTGGAGAGAGGAGTAAGAGAAAGAAAAGACAGAAGTCAAGAAGAGAAGAGAGGAAAGGAGAGAACGGAAGAGACAATAGAGTACGAGGGGAGGAGAACAGAAAAAGGAAAGGTGAACGAAGGTCCAGACAGAGAAAGGGAGAGAAAGAGAGGAAAGAGAGAGAAAGAAGAGAAAGAGAAGAGAGAACAGAAGAGAGAAGAAAGACGAGAAGAGACAAAGAAGAGAAAGAGAGAGGAAAAGGGAGGAAGAGAGAAGAGAGAAAGAGAGAAGAGAGAAAGAGAAGAAAAAGAGAAGGGAAGAGAAAGAGAGAATAAAAGAGACAGAAGAGAGAAAACAAAGAGAGAAGAGGAACAAAGAAGGAGCAAGAGGAGGGAAGAGAAGAGAAAAGAAAAAGAGAAGAGACAAAGAAGAAAGATAGAGGAAAAGAGAGGGAAGAGAGAAAGAAAGAAAGAGAGAAAGGGAAAGAGAAGAAAGCGAGGAAAGAAAGAAAGAGAAGAAGAGAACAGGCAGAGGAGAGGAACGCATGAAGGTAAGGCAAGGGAACAGAAGGGGTATATCTGTGTACTGACGCACCCTGGGTGCGGGTATGGAAAGTGTCAGGGAGCGAGGGTAGGCGGTACCTGGGGCACTTAAACCGCCCCCCCTTAAAGGCACGCCCCATCTGTTCAATGCTCTTTCGTGGTGACGTTTGTTTCTCCTTGCGCAATCCTTTTCTTTCGTTTATTATATATTTTTTTTCTCTATTTCACTTCTTATTTTTAATATCTATCTTTTCTTGTTTTTATTCTATCTCTCTCCTTTTTCTTTCTTATCGTATATATTTTTTCTCTATTCAGGTGTTCCTTATCTTTATCTCTCTTTTATTATTCCATTTCCTGCTATGTTTTAGTTTTCCTTTAGTTGTTATATTTCTTTCTATTTCATTTTCGTTCTCTTTATCTCTCCTTTTTATCTATTTCCTCTATTTCTTTTCCTTTTCTTTCGTTTATCATATATTTTTTTCTCTATTAATTCTCCTTCTCTTTATCTCCTTTTATTCTATTTCCTAAATTTTTTACCTTTTCTTTCGTTTATTTATATATTTTTTCTCTCTATTCATGCTTCGCTTCTCTTTTATACTTTTTATTATTCTATTTCCTTTATTTTTTTCTTTTCCTTCGTTTTCCATATTTTTTCTCTTGTCATTTTCCTTTCTTTATCTCAATATTTTTTTTCTATTTCCTCTATTTTTTTCTTTTCTTTCCTTTATATTTTTTTCTCTATTCATTTTCCTTTTTTATCACTTTTTTTATTAATCTATTTCTATTTTTTTCCCTTTTCTTTCGTTTATCGTATATTTTTTCTCTATTCACTTTCCTTCTCTTTATCTCTCTTCTTTATTCTATTTTCCTTCTCTTTCTCTCTTTTTTATTATATTCCTCTTTATTTTCTTATTTTCCTCTCTTTCTCCTCTCTTTTTAATTATATTTCCTCCTATTTTTTATTTTCTTTCGTTTATCATATATTTTTTTCTCTAATTATTTTCCTTTCTCTATCTCTCTTTTTCATTCTATTTGCTCCATTTTTTCTTGTTTCCCAGTTTTTGTTTTTCAGTCATCTCTCCTTTTCTCTATTTCTCCTCTTATCTTTTACGCTTTTCTCTTTCTTTACCCCCTTATGTTTTTCTTTACTTTTCTCTCTCGCGCTACTTTTATCTATTTCACTCTTTCCTTTCTTATATTTTTCCTTCTTCCTTTTCTTTCTCTTTTTCTTTCCTTTGTTATTTATCTTTTTTCTTCTTGCTTTTCCCGCTTTCCTTTATTATATAAAAAAATAGAAGCAAAGTAGAACGTAAAAAAAAAAAGACAAAAACGCAGACGAAGAAAAGGAGACAAAAATAAACAGGAAAAACATCAACTAAAATTTGTAAAAAAAAAAAAAAAAAAACGCCGAAAGATGTAAGAAGGAAAATGGAGAGAAAACAAAGGAGATGAAAAAATGCAAAAGAACACAACAAATAACAACAACAAGACATTCCAGAACGGAGCGAAGACATGACGAAGGAGAAGAAGGGGAAGAAAAAAACAAAAAAGAAGAAGAAAAAGAAGAGTGAAAACATAGACTAACCAAAGAAGAGAAATGAAAAGTGATAACAAAGGAAGAGAAAAAAAGAAGAAAAGAAAAATAAGAGGAAAAAGGAATAAATTAATAATAATAATAATAATAATAATAATAATAATATAATAATTATAAGAGGAAGAAGAATATGAAAAGAAATTATGAGGGGAAAAGAAAGGAAAGTAAGAAGAAGAGGTAGAAGTAGAATAAAGAAAGAAAGAAGAAGGATAACAATAACAAATAATAATAATAACAATATAATAATTAATGATAAAAGTATAAAATAATAATAATAATAATAATAATATAATAATAAATAATAATAATAATAATAATAATAATAATAATCTAATAATAATAATAATAATAATAATAATAATAATAATAATTAATAATAACAATAATAAAAAATAAAAATAAAAAAAATAATAGATAATAATAAAAGTAATAATAATAATTTAATAATAATATAATAATATTATTATTAATAATAATAACAATGAATAATAATAATAATAATAATTATTATTATTAATAATAATAACAATAATAACAATAATAATAATAATAATATTCAATGAGAAGATTGTGGAAAAAGAAGAACGGGAAGAAAAATAATTAAGAATAATATGAGGAAGGAAGAGGAAAATAATAAATAATGAAGAACAAGAAAGAGAAGAAAAAATAGCAAGAAGATGGAGTTAAAAACGGCACATATATTCAATTCTCTCTCTCTCACTCCCTCCCTCCTCTCCTCTCCCTCTCCGCTCTCCTCCTCTCCCTCTCCATCTCCCTCCCTTCCCTCTCTCCCTCTCCTATCTCCCTCTCCCTCTCCTCTGCCCATGCTCCTCCCCGCTCTCCTCTGCGCTCTTCCATCTCCTCTCCTCTCCTTTCCCTCTCCTCTCCCTCTCCATCTCCCTCTGCCCTTCCGCTCTCCCTCTCCTCTCCTCTCCCTCCCGGCGGCTCTTATCCCTCTCCCTCTTCCCTCGTCGCCTCTCCCTCTCCCTCTCCGCTCTTCCGTCTCTCCCCTCCATCTCCCTCCCCCTCTCTCCTCTCCCCATCCTCCTCCCCTTCCCTCTCGCCTCTCGCCTCTCCATCTCCTCTCCCTCTTCCCCTCTCCCTCTCCTCCTCCCTCCCCCTCTCCCTCTCCCTCTTCCCCGTCCCTCTCTCTCCTCCCCTCTCTCTCTCCCTCGCTCCTCTCCTTTTCCTCCCCCGTCTCTCCTCTTTCCCCTCTCCCCTCTCCATCTCCCTCTCCTCTCTCCTCTCCTCTCAATCTCCCTCTCTTCCTCTCCTCTTCCCGTTCTCCATCTCCCTCCCGCTCTCCCCTCCCTCTCCATCTCCCTCACCCCTTCTCCCTCTCCCTTCTCCTCTTCCTCTCCCTCTTCCCTCTCCCTCTCCATCTCTCCTCCCCCTTTCCCTCTCACTCTCCCCTCTCCTCTCTCCTCTCCTCTCGCTCTCCTCTCCATCTCCCTCCCCCTCTCCCTCTTTCCTCTCCCTCTCCGCTCTTCTCTTTCCCTCTCCATCTCCCTCCCCTCTCCTCTCCTTTCTCCATCTCCCTCTCCTCTCCCTTCCTCTCTCCTCTCCATCTCCCTCCCCTCTCTCTCCCTCTCCCTCCCCTCTCGCCTCTCCCTCTTCGCATCTCCTTCCCCCTCTCCTCTTCCCTCTCCCTCTCCTCTTCCCTTTCTCCCTCTCCCTCTTCTCATCTCCATCTCTCCATTCTCCCATCCCCTCTCCTCTTCCTCCTCTTCCCATTCTCCCTTCTCACTTCTTCCCTCTCCTCTCCCTCTTCCATCTCTCCCTCCCTCTCCCTCTCCCTCTCCCTCTCCTCTCCCTCTCCTCTCCCTCTCCCCTCTGGCCATCTCCCTCCCCCCTCTCGGGCCTCTCACCTCTGCCTCCCCCTCTTCCTCTCCCTCTCCCT